GTGCCCATGCGGGATGGAGCCCCACTCACTCAGAGTGCCTCCTGCGGGATGGAGTCCCACTCAGAGTGCCTCCTGCGGGATGGAGTCCCACTCAGTGCTCCTGCGCGATGGAGGCCCACTCAGAGTGCTCCTGCGCGATGGAGGAGAAGTGCCTGGGGGCTCTGACTTCCTTGTCTTTCTCCTATGGAGCAACTGCGGGGTTCAAACTGCTGACCTTTTGCTTCACAATCAGGACCTTTAACCACTACAAAATGTCTTGTTTTTATATGTTGTATAAATTGTCTCTAATCCTAAACATATCTACTGGGATTAGAAATTGAAATTGAACCCCATTATTCGTTCCCTGCCAAATTCCTCCTATTTCCTCTCACTTTGGCCTCTTCTACTTCAAACTAATGTAATGGTCATCCAATTCTTACCCTCATGTATTGCTTTATTGTGATCCCCATCAGTTAGTGTATGTGATTTTCCTGGTTTTCATCCACATGTATCTAAAACTGGAACTTTTCACACTTACAAAGAGTTACTTTTCAATACCTGGGGTTTTTTTAGTTTGATTCTGGAAGCTTCTTTTTGAGCCCACCTTTTTAGCTCAGCTAAAGGTCCTTGCCTTGATCTTGGATCTACTTTGATTCCTCCTAGTAATTATTATTCTGCCCGAAACATCACCTACTTGCTCAGTTCGATAAGAAAAGAGGACAAGCTCTCTATCTCTTACAGAAGCCATGGAGGTTGTTAAATATTTTATTGACGTTCACTAAGCCCCACTACAAATTCACTAAATTAAAATCTGGGGTTTGGCTCGTACATTTTTACTTTTTCCCCTTTTAGCAAACTGCAGTTAATTCTTAGATAACACCAGTAGCTGAGAAATTCTGCTTGTAACTTCTTTGGAGAGTTTTTTTTCCCCCCCTATTACTCTTTTCATATGCCTACTGGGTGTTGGGTTAGTATTTGTATAGTATGAAATAAAGCACACAGTAAGCCATTGACCCAATTTTTTTAAAAGTTAATTTTCAAAAAGTAAGTGAAATTGTCTTGTACTTTTTTAATGTCTTTTCAGTTAAACTTGGGAACAGTTGGATTTTATCGGACCCAGTACAGCTCAGCCATGCTGGAAAGTTTATTACCAGGCATTCGGGACCTTTCTCTACCCCCAGTGGACCGACTGGGGCTGCAGAATGACCTCTTCTCCTTGGTGAGCGCCTCTCATTCAAGTCAGATGATGAATTGTGTGACTAAAGGCGTTTGTTTTTTTCTGGATTGTCTGGCTGAAACATAATTAGAAGATACAGCTCTTCCTGCAGGCTAAATTCCCCTTTGGGAGTAGAGCAAACAACTAATTATTAATTATCAGGACAAGACTGAACCTGTGTAATTTACCAGAAAGAAACCCCACTTCACCATGTCTAAGCAATTTTGTCAACATTTGTTAGTTAAACTGTACTTTGTGAGGCAAAAGATTTCCTTCTTTTGAATAGAAATAGTATGAATTTCCCAAATAATAAGTTTCCTTTGGTATTGTTTTTTAAATAACAATTTCAAAATGATTTGTTTTTCTTAATTAGTGTTTGTAGTTTTCTGGGGAAATCTGGAGGTTTTGTTCTTATTTTGGCATTTCATCATTTCTCAAATTATTTTATTTAGAATTATATTTATATTTAGCTTTGTTTCACAAAGGATTTAAAGTAGTATTTGCTTTATGACTCTAGCATGGCTCAGATAGTTTCTCGAAGTCTTTGATTCTTAGAACATTATAGAAATGATTCCCCTAGTTTTCCTTTAAATTAGATTTCAAGTTTCCCCTCTTCTTGTGCAAACACAGATTAGCATTGATGTACAAAGCCTCACATCTGCTGAGAAAGACCTGTCTCAGGAGAGTGGGCTGTTTGTGCAGTTGGTTGCTGTATCAGACGTTCTTGTTCTTAATTCTGTTAGTTAGTTCTGAAAGGACTCTGGATTGGGGCCTTTCTAGCTGCATCCTTGTAGATATGAGTAAAAGACAGGTTAAGTTGATATTGTTCGTAGGTCCGGTACCAAGGCCTTAACTATTGTTGCAACTTTTCTGAAAGAAAGAACATTTGAAAACAAAACCAGGACCTCAGAAACAGACTAGAAATAAAAAATTCACCCCATTCTCTTTCCTCCCACTTTCACACACACACATACCCCCACCTCCATTCATCCCCACTTGGTGGAATTTTAGGAGTTTTTTTCTTTCCAAAATGTCTCTGTTATCAGTAGAAAAGAAGTGAATGATAACTTGGGTCACAATAGGATTTATATCCTAATAGTACTCTGAGCTTCTATAGTCTCATTTCCCTTAAACCAAAGAGATAACTAGATGACTGACTAGCAGTTAAATATAAATAATACCCCAAATACATGTGTGTTTGTATGTTTGTTTTGTTTTTGTTTGACGACTAGATTAATTTATGTTTTTTCCTATCCCAGGCTCGAGCTGGAATGATTAGCACAGTAGAGGTTCTAAAAGTCATGGAGGCTTTTGTGAATGAGCCCAATTATACTGTATGGAGCGACCTGAGCTGTAACCTGGGGATTCTCTCAACTCTCTTGTCCCACACAGACTTCTATGAGGAAATCCAGGAGTTTGTGAAAGATGTCTTTTCACCAATAGGGGAGAGACTTGGCTGGGACCCCAAACCTGGAGAAGGTAATGGATGGACTTTAAATGGTTAAAGAAATTGGTCAGAGAGGGGGACTTTTTCCTCTGCTGTGGTTCACCTTATCCATAGCATCATAAGTGAGTCTCTTGGAGGTTACTGTATACTCAGGTGGCCCAGAAGTCCCATTAAGACTTTAATCTTTTAAGTCTTATGGTGAAGTGTCATGGGTTACCAACATTGAAAGTGTAGTGGCTTATGGGTATTTGTTGCCAAATGTGTTTGTGCATAAAGCCAATGATGGATGCAAGTCTTTTACAGAGTTCCAAAGGTCCAATGATAGGAACCATTATCAAAAGGAGTTAATATATTGTCATCATGTTTGTATCTCATAAAGGTGCTAAGAGTTATTAAAGGGCCATTTTCTGAATTTAGGAAGTTATTTGTTTTCTACATGTGTTCTCTCTGATTGGATTATTTTGTAATCTTATATTTGCTCTTTTGCTACTACTTAAATCTTGGGACTGTTGATATCAGGGTTTTAAATATAATTATTTTTAATATCTGCTAATAATAAATAAAGGTGCTCTGGTGGTTGTGTGTGTGTACTATATACATATTCCTGATTAGTCTTGATCTGAGAATCTTTTGTCAAAGAGCAAATAAAATAATGCCTAGAGCTCTGCTTCTTTCCTTTATTTATTTAACAATTACTTATGCACCTTGTAAATGTCGGGGAACACCCTGAGAGGTGGTAATAGGAAACATGACTCTCCTGTGGCTTACTTCTAGTGGGAGGCAATGAAATGTAGAGTGTGCCAAGGAACAGTGAGTGTCTGGTTTCGGGGGTGGGGGGTGGTGGTCCACAAAAGGTAGGGTGAGGTAGATAAGAAACAGGAAGGGTGAGTCACTGCTTTTGACATGACTAGTTGCACTTACACAGTGGTCTTCGGAGAGAGCTTGATGCTCTCTAGGGGAGAAGTGGTCCAAAGAGAAGGACCTGACACAAAAGCATGGTCGGCATGCTCACAAAGAAGAGGGAAACCAGTAAGGCCAGGCGGGAGTATATGAGCGAGCGAGCTCCAAATGATGACCTGGGGGGTGGGGGGGGGTGTGCTGATCAGACCCTATAGGGCCTGCGAATTGTAATACAAAGTTTTTGACATTAACCTTTAGTAATGTGAGAAGCTAATAGCGTTTTAAGCAGAAGAACATGTGTGATTGTGTGCAGAGCAGCTGGAAGAGTGGAAACGGAAGAGCAGTAATCCAGTGCTAGTTAATTCAGTGTATATCATCAAGGTAGAACTGAACAAGGAGGATTTTGCTGGTGGATTAAGTGGAGTAGAAAGGAAAAGGAGAGTTATCAGATTTTGGTCTGAAGAACTGAAAGGCTGACCCCAATTGGAAGAGCCCCTTCAAAGCAGGGAGAGAGTTGGGATTAGGAGAGCCAAGAGGATCTAGCCGAAGGGACTCAACTTGGAGAGTTGTTAGAGTAGAGATGGTGTTTACAGCTGTGGGTCCGAGTGTAGGTAGAGGAGAGCTCTGCAGGCAGTCCAGGGTTTGAAGCAGTGGTTCTCAACCTTCCTAATACCGGGCGCTTTAATACAGTTCCTCATGTTGTAGTTACCCCTCAACCATAAAGTTAACTTGTTGTTACTTCATCACTGTAATTTTGCTACTATTATGAAGCAGGTGACCCCTGTGAAAGGGTCGTTGGATGACACCCCCCCCCCAAAGGGGTCGCGACCCACCTGTTGAGAACCACTGGTTTAAAGCTTGGGTAGATAAGGAAGAATTAGCAAAGAGGAGCCTCACGTGTAGACGTTCAAAGGACCTTTGCTGCAGAAGAGCTGAAAGGGAGGGAGAGAGATGTGAGCTAAGAGGGGGGACTTTTTAATTGTCATAAATATGTAGAACCAGAAACTTGATATTTTAACCTTTTTGGTTTGTAATGTACACTTCAGTGGCATTACTGTAACTGCATTCATCATGTTGTATGGCCATCACAACTATCCACTTTATCTTTTTCTTTTTTTATTTTATCAGCCTTATCTGCTCCAAGTTTTTCATTGTCCTAAACAGGAATATCTCCTCATCCCCTGGCAGCACTGATCTACTTTTTGTCTCTCTGAATGTGCCTATTTTGAATATTTCATATAAGTGAAATAATTTTATTTTTATCTTTCTGTGTCTGACTGACTTCACTTAGCATGTTTCCACAGTTCATCTATGCCATAGCATGGATGAGAACTTTTTTTTTTATGGTTTACTATTCCATTATTTGTATATACTACATTTTATTTATAGTGATCTACTCATCCTTTGATAAATACTTGGGTTGTCTCTACTTTCTGTGTGTTATGATTAGCACTGTCGTGAACACTGGCACAGAAGTGTCTGTTAACTAGGAGTGGAATTGGCTGGGTGACAAGGTAGTTTCCTGTGTAATTTTTTTCAAGAACTGCCATACTGTTTTCCAGCTGCTCCACTTTATAACCCCAGCAGTGATGGGTAAGGGCTCCCGCGTCTCCACGCCCTTGCCAACACTTGTTTTCCCTTTTTGTTCTCCTGTTACTAGCCATCTTAGTGGAAGGGAGGTGGTGTCTCACTGTGGTTTTGATTGTCATTTCCCTTGTGTGCTTATTGGGCATTTATATATCTTCTCTGGGGAAATGAATCTGTCCTATTTTTTAATTGAAAACCTAAGATTTTAATTTCTTGTATGAAGGCATACTGTGTTCTTCAAACCTTGATTAAAAGCTACATGATCCCTCTAGTTCCTAAATGTTTCCTCCCCGCTCCCACTACCATGACTGGAATTCGACCTTGCAAGTCTGGCTAGACCAGAGGATGTACACTGGTACAGATAGGAACTGAAAATACAGGGAATCCAGGGTGGATGAGCCCTACAGGACCAGTGGTGTGAGTGGTGATACTGGGAGGGTAGAAAGAGAGTGGGTAGGAAAGAGGGAACCGATTACAAGGAACTATATGTGACCTCCTCCCTGGGGGACGGACAACAGAAAAGTGGGTGAAGGGAGACATCAGACAGGGCAAGATATGACAAAATAATAATTTATAAATTATGAAGGGCTCATGAGGGAGGGGGGAGCGGGGAGGGAGGGGAAAAATAAGGACCTAATGCGGGGGGTTTAAGTGGAGAGGAAATGTTTTGAGAATGATGAGGGCAAAGAATGTACAAATGTGCTTTACACAATTGATGTGTGTATGGATTGTGATAAGAGTTGTATGAGCCCCTAATAAAATGACTTTTTTAAAAAGCTACATGATCTACCATATATACTCGTGTATAAGCCAAGTTTTTCAGCACATTTTTTATGCAGTTTTTGTGGTACAATTAGGTGCCTAGGTTGATATTTGGATTGGCTTATACTCGAGAATATACGGTAAGTGTAATCTTTTCACACATGATCTTCAGCAATATCATTAACTAGACAGAACAAACACTTACTGAATTCAGATCGTGGACTTGGTGATGTATACACAGTCAGCAAATTTGCTTACATGGTCTGTTTAGCACTCATTTCCTCTCCTGATTCAACCAAATATTCTCAAGCATTGAGGCAATTGATTGTGTTATTCAAGAATGTAAGCATGAAGCAATGATAAGATAGGCGAGTGTTTGTAAAAAATACCACCCTCCCCCTATTTTGTTTTAAGTGTAATCCCATATCTACTTTTGCTTCCCAACCAGGTCATCTAGATGCACTCCTGAGGGGCTTGGTTCTGGGCAAACTAGGAAAAGCAGGCCATAAGGCAACACTCGAAGAAGCCCGCCGTCGGTTTAAAGACCACGTGGAAGGGAAACAGATTCTGTCTGCTGATCTGAGGAGTCCTGTAGGTTTCCATCATTAATTACCTTGATTTCTAGGTGCCTGCATCATTTCACGTAGAACCGAACTTCTTAATAGGAACCCACACCCACCTAAGTGCTGACCCACCTTGCAGGTCTACCACACTGTAAGATACACCTTTGAGAGGACGTGTCGCCCATTTCTCACTTGGTTAGCGTTTCTCCGTTGTCAGCACTGTGGGGCTGCAAGTTCATTATGGGGAACAGCCCCCCACCCCACCCCCCAGTTTCCACACTGCAGTGACTGCATCCGCCCACCTTCAGTAGTTGATATGAGCTATTTGCTCCTTGACACGGTTTATGTAACATCCACACGCAGCTGTTTACAATTTTTTATACTAATGTTTTTTCTGAAACATTACAATCGTTGGAACAAGGTGCATGTAACCAAATGTCCTTTTGGACCCTGTCCTCTCTTGCAGGTTTACCTGACTGTTTTGAAGCATGGTGATAGTACTACCTTAGACATTATGCTAAAGGTGAGCATGTTTGCAGAGAGTTCCCATTTCCTGCCTTTGATCTTAGATCAGCACCCAGAGTATGCACTTTAAGTGATGGAAAAATGTATAGCAAAGAACATCCGCAAATAGGAAGAACTATGAAAAACTATGCATTGTCTTCAGGAGCTTAATACTACTTGCCCAAAGCCTTATTTTCCAGAGTTTTTTTCTCCCCCCACTCATGAGTTTATGCATTTTCATTGTTACCTCTGAAATGTTCGTTTTAGTAAAAGTCAAGTTCTTAAAATTTCCACCCTTACAGAGACAGGTTTGTGTCTGTACTTAGGAAATTACTTAAGGATCAAAAGTTTCAGGGTGAGCCCCTCACAAATGGACAGGAAACAAATTCATTTGCTCAGCCTCGGTAGTTTTCCCAGGGTGATTGCTTATATTTAAATGATGAGCTGATCAAAACACAGACAAAACTTGCCTTGTCCTTTCGTGAAAACAATGGCAGTGATCAGTTTGAAAGGTGTAGCCCAAGTCACACTGGCAAACAAATGCTTTCTCCAGCCCGTATCAGCCTGTTTGATCAGTTGTTAAAGAAGTACTGCCACTATCCTAGGTGCAGTAGAGAGGAAGGAGGTGAACCTACTTCGTGTGATTTAATCAAAAGTACAAGGTGTTCAGGTGCTCAGGCCATCCATCGGACCCACACTGGCTTCTTTCACTGAACAGCTGCACAGAAGGCTGGGCAAACGCGGGGGAAGGTGCTCTGCGATACCCCGGAGTGTCGCTGAGAAGTGCTTTTCTGAGTGCAGGACCAGCAGTGATGGTTTAAACAAGTCCTGTTAAATATTTCTCTCGGTGTTTGGAAACCTATAGGCTATATGTTGTACTGTTTTAACTACTACTCTTGTAGACAGATTTCCTTTCTAGTTATATAACTATACTTTGGGTATATTTTTTAGCAAATTGGATTAAGGTTCCTTCGCTCTCCTTTTTTTTCCTCCTTGTTCTTAATAGTATGTGAACCTATATGCTAGAAGCCTGCAATGCTTTATCTGTCAAAGGGGGGGAGGGCATATATACTAGTCAATTTCATAAAAGTATTAGAGAAAAATAGAGATTTTTAATAAGCTTGCATTTAACTTAAGAACGCTCTGGCTAATTCAGGTGTACTGTGGAGAGAGTTCTCAGTGCAAAATCAGGATTCTTTAAGAAGGTAGTTGGCAAGAGAGGAGTGTTTCTGGTGATGGTTTCTGAATGAGGCAGAGTAAAACTGAAAAATAATTTGAAGTGTATTTGAAATATGTGATGTTATAGGGCCATCTAGTGGACATGGCAGGTTTCCCTAGGGAAAATTGCTTCCTTACAGCCAGAGTTTAGACCTTGAATTTAGTGGAGCCTCAGGGAACCTTGGAATCATCCGTACACTCCCCTCATTTTACAGATGGGCTCTCTGAGCCCTGGAGGGCTTAGGGACTTAGTCCAGATCACACAGCTCTTTGGAGATCAAAGGCAGGACTAGAGGCCGGGCCTCCTGACTTCCCATCTAGTTCACCACTCTGCTGCTCAAGAGAGTGGGGAGGAAGCAGAAGCTGGGAGCTGTGATGGGTCTCCAGACACCGCTCAGGATTCAGTCTCAAGGGGAAAGGTGAAGAGAGTCTAGTCTAATCAGACCATTTGAATTTTCTAAGATTTTTCTCTTTGAACTGGGGGGAAAAATTTTTTTAATATATTCACTGTGGAAGACTTAGAGACTAGAAAAGTATGAAGAAGAAAGTTTCACCTGAACTTATCTTTAATCAAAAATTGACCTCAAAATTAGCATGTACAATGTGATTGCACTCCTGGCTTAGAAATGTATGTAGTAAAATTTGAATTTTTTAAATTTATGTTGCTTTATCTTTTTAAAATTCTATATTAAGCATGTGGTTAGCAAAAGAGTGAATGTTTGAACTTTTTCAAACAAAGTGTGTAATCCTAGTGAGCAGAAGCTGTTAATGTGTATATGTTCAGGGTCTCTTCCCCTCACACCCCCTTCATGCCAGTTTTTTAATGGGATAAGATTGGGAGTCATTTGTTCATCTGCTATAGAACATTAGCCAGGCTATCCACAAGGTAAAGAATCTGACCCTGACCGATTAACCCTTCAGCTTCTGGGACTCTTCGTCCAGGGAGCACTTGGTTCCAGTGATGTACTTATTTTCTGTAATGACAGTTGACCAGTGCCTTTGAAAAACATACTCTCATGAATTCTATGCCCATTTTTCACAGTAAGAATGTAGCACAAAGCTTATACGTGACGTTCACGTGAGCATCTGCAGAGAGTTTTTAGGGGGAGTTAACGAGCCCGTCTCTGTCTTGTCTTTAGCTCCACAAACAAGCTGATATGCAAGAAGAGAAAAACCGAATTGAAAGAGTCCTTGGGGCCACTCTCTCACCTGAACTGATTCAGAAAGTCCTCACTTTTGCACTTTCGGTAAGTCACGATGAAAATGACTTTAGAAAGAATTGTTACCCACTCTGTGACCAGGGTCTTTGATTCTGTATCTTCGGGCTGACTTCCTCTTAGAAAAATTGGATTGAGCTTTGGTTTCTGGCTTTTATTAACTCCCTCTAGTGCTGAGAATCAGAATTGAGAGAGGTAATTGTGTCCAGAGTAGGCATTGTGAGGTCGGGGACAGGGACACTTGTGCAAACTGGGACACTGATTGATCCCCGTGCCTTTATTTACTTTGTAAGTTCCCAGGCAAGTGTTGATCGGTCGTTCTGTTGTTTACACCTGTTCCAGCAACCCACGTTCAATTGGCTAATCCTTAGGTGAAATGTTCTCCTCTGCTGAAAGCTTAAAGCTAGGATTGATTGTCTTCAGTGAAGCTTTTGTTCCTTGGAGACCCCCTTGGGGACACACTGGACTTTGAGTTCTCTGTCTGTTTTCAGGAAGAGGTACGTCCGCAGGACACTGTCTCAGTCATTGGTGGGGTCGCTGGAGGCAGCAAGCATGGTAGGAAAGCTGCCTGGAAGTTCATAAAGGACAACTGGGAAGAGCTTTACAATCGATACCAGGGAGGATTCTTAATATCCAGACTAATAAAGGTATGTGGAAATCATTATGCCCAGTCATTCACTATTGTTACTGTGCGACAGCTACGATTCACTGGGCCAGAGATGAGGTCTGTGCTCTTGTAGAAGTTTTCCTCGTTCAGAGACTTCTCTGCATCGTCTCTTAAACACTGAAGTTGAGAGAGAACAGATGATTTGTTTTTAGTGAAGTCGTTTCCAGTCTCTCAGTTGCACTCACTTTTGTGAATGGTTGTCTTTTCAGCTATCAGTTGAAGGGTTTGCAATTGACAAAATGGCCGGAGAGGTGAAGGTAAGGGCTACTGTTTACTTACCCACCCTTATTGTGAATTGGGTGAAGATTTATAAGAACTGATCCGTTTTGCACATTTTGCTTCACGTCCTTGGTGGCAATCCCATAGTGCCGCACCACTTACCCCACTTCTTCCCTGTGCTTCCCAGTTCCATTGCTCCTCCTTCCCTAAGCCCACCTTCTGAACTTTGCCCTGGACTCAATGATCTGGAGTGGTGGGCCGTTCTGAGGAGTCACGTCTGCTGCCCTTTCCCTGATAGACCTGTCTATCCTCTGCCTGAAAACAGAGCCCACGACCCGATGGAGTGCTTTTCACTTAGTAACTAACGGGGAGCTCCCGTTCTCACTTGGTAAAGACCACTTGGTTGAGGAGTTTTAATGTCTGAAGAATTTAGGACGAAGACCTTTGAGGGCATTCAAATAGGATTTTTACAAAGATAGGTAACACCGGGGTGAAGATTTTCTTAAGAGTGACATAGTGGAAGCCAGGTCAGAGTTGAGTGACGGTTTCTTTCCTGTGGTCATGGGCCTGCCTGGGTCGTTTGTGTGCACCGTGAGATTAGAGGGCTACATGGGCTCAGTTTGGTATGGACTTGGAAACAGCAGTGTTCAGCGCTTGGGGGGAGAATCTGCATTCGTTGGGAAAATCTTTCTTTTTTGATATGGACACTTCATGAATTTGCGGGTCATCCTTGCACAGAGGCCGTGCTGACCTCCTCTGTCGTTGCGGCTCCGTGTCTGTGCGGCTGGAGGAGCACGGTTGGGGAACCCTTCCCTAGGCCCCAGTCGTGTTTAGGTGTCCGTGTCACTTTCATCTCCCTGCAGGCAAAGGGTGACACTGAGTGTGAATTCGTGAATTCTGAGAGAGACTAGTCAGGTCCACTGTATGTGCCATGTTAAGAGTAAGATTTTAAGATTTCAGATCTCACTGAGAAAATCGTAAAAGACATCTCATTTCATTTCTGTTGTATTATTTCAAGCGATTCTTTTATCACAAAAGTAATAGGGACTGTGAAGGATAAAGACTTGTAGAGGAAAAGTGGCCAGGCTAAGGAAGTAGGTTGGGACCAGACCATATAAGGATTTGTAGGCCATATTGAAAAATTCCTGAGAAATAAACCTTGAAACGTCTATAAACAAGGGGATGGCTCAGTCTGCTCAGTTACTGAAATTCCAGTCCGGCTCCCGTGTGGAGAATGGTTGGGGACAGGGAGGGGATGTGGAAAAGGGAACTCCCAGGCAACAACAGTGCAGCAGCTTGGAGTAGGATGGTGGTGGGTGCTGGGAAGATGGAGTACTAAGAGATTTGTGGTTTGATTTTGTCCATCCAGAATTCAACAAATGTAGACTGAATGACTTCTCTGTGCAAACCTATCTGCAGGAGGAAGCAGGGTATTTCCAGTTTTTCTGGCGTATGTGTGGTGGGGGAACATTTGTTGAGATGGAACTGGAGGAAGACTTGTATCTAGTTCAGTCATGAGAAGCCAGCTGTGATTTAGGAACCTTGTGGCAGGAGGCGCCATCACCTGCGTCAGGAAGGTCGTTTATTTCAGAAAGGAAGGTCTGGACTTAACAGTGGATTGGTTCTCCCTTTGGCTCCTGTGACCGCTAGTTCACAGGAAAGGCCCTGTTCCTTTGCTGATTGATTTAAGAGCTGCTCTGCCTTTATAAAAGTAGGTGTACTTCATTAGAAAAGAAAAAGTTCCTTTAACCCTTTGTCAGTAAACATTGTGGAAAATTAAAAACTCAGAAGTGGCCTTCTAACATTAAAAATATAAGAATATAGAATGTGAAATTATTAGGGCATAGTAGCAGTTTAAACACTGTGCTAAGGTACTATGATAGCTTGTCTCTTCATTTGTCTGGAATAAATATTTTCTCATATTTCTATACTTCTCATAGCAGTGAAGGTACTCAGAGTCACAGGCTAGCTTGTGTTTGTTCCCATATCAGATTCGAAAGCCTCAGTTAACCACCTAGAGGAAATGAGCCTAGAGGAAAAGCTGTAGGTTGTGTCTCTTGACTAGTGGTTTTGGATCAGTCTTTAAGCATACACAATCGGAGTGAGAACAACCCCCATGTGCAAGCCTGAGGAAAATCGCTTACGTCCCTTTGGCATGGGCACCTGGAAAGGGGAAGGAAGGGGTGACTGCAGGGAGGAAGCCTGTGGTGAGGGGTGACTGGTGGGACATTCACTGGAGGGAGCCCGTGGCGGAAACATCTTGCTATGGCTGGGAGTGAGCATTCAGCCTAACGCCTGCCTTCTGGGTGGTGTTTTCACCAGGTGTTCTTCGAGAGTCACCCAGCGCCATCGGCTGAGCGGACCATCCAGCAGTGCTGTGAGAACATCCTGCTGAATGCCGCCTGGCTCAAGCGAGATGCTGAGAGCATCCACCAGTACCTCCTTCAGCGGAAGGCCTCGCCCCCTGCAGTGTGAGCCCTGAGCCCTGCTGCTGTGGTTCTGCTGCTCTGCTACAGGGAGGAGAAGGTGGGGCCACCCAACAGCTGATTCATATGCCAAGAATTTGGAGTCTTCTTTCAAACCAGTGGGGGTTGGACAATGAATGTAGTTAACTGGTTCCTGCTCACACTCCAGAATTAAATTCTATTGAAAAAAAGGAAAATCAGCAATTCAGCAAAAAAGTAAAATAAAAATGTAAATATGATAGTAATAAAATAGAGCATAACAAAACTGTGAAACTTCCTGAAGCCTTGTCAGTGGTTAAAAGTATTTAACACTCTCCTGTAAATGACAGATGTTCTGTTTTTATAACCTACCAAAAGGAAACTAGAGGCTTCTGGGTCAAGAGGATTTTGTGAACTGGGGCCTGCAAGCAGCCTCCAAGCCAAGGGTGGGCCAATCGCTGGGAACTTTCACCACGACAGGCTGGTCGTTGGTGTCTGCATAATTCCAAGTGGGATTTTTATTGTTGGTTTTAGTTCTGTTTTCTTTTACGGCATGGGGATGGTGCAGGAAGGGATCTTTTTCTGCATAACTCAGTCGGAACCAAGGATTGGAGTTTTCTTCCTTGCCTTCCCTCCTATGTAATCCCCTTGGCCAAAAAAAACACAACAACTATCCTGTTCTGGGTTTTTTCCTCCCCTTAGTTCCAGACCCCGCCCCACCCCTCCCTGTGTCCTCCTTAGAGATAAAGAAATAATAAGGAAACATCCTCTGTAGCCACATTAAATAAGAGAGACTGATTGACATTATTTTTCTCGCTTTTTAAAGATGACTTTTAAGGACCCTGGGACGCATGTAGATGAGACGGTAGGAAAGGGTTTTTAGACAGGCTTTCCTGGAGGAGTGCTTCACTGAAAACTGCTTGATTGTTGGAGGCCACCTATTGAACCTCTTCCTAAGCTGTGTGGGCACTAGCCTCTCCTGGCCGGTGGCATGCCCAGGAGACGGCCTTCCTGATACTGGGACTGGTGAGAAAGACGAGGACCGGCAGGCTGTGCACCGTGCTCTGCTTCAGCAGTGTGCCCTCCTAACAAGCCCCGCCCACCCAAGCCGTCGAGTTTGAGTTTTAAATCTCTTTCCCTACCTTCCCTCACTCCACCCTTTTTTCTTTTGTGTTATTAACAGGATTTCATATTTGGTGTGGCTTAACTGTATTTCAGAAGGTCATCAGATTGTGAGATTGCTTCCTTGAAACATTTTTGTGCTATTGTTTTAAAAAAATAATAATAATTAAAAACCAGTTGGCGTTAATAAAAATGTCAATGTGAAATCCATGTCCTGATTTCTTTTCTTCTCTTTGATAAGGAACTAAAGCTTGGTGGTCTTTCAGTAAGATTCAATCTCTACTACCTCAAGATTTTAGTCTAGGGAAATCTAGCTCTTTAATTTTTTTTTCTTTTTAATCATTTTATTGGGGGTTCATACAACTCTTACCACAACCCATACATACATCAGTTGTGTCAAGCACATTTGTAGCCCTCATCATTCTCAAGACATTTGCTCTCCACTTAAGCCCTTGGCATCAGCTCATCTTTTCCCCTCCCTGTCCGTTCCCCACTCCCTCATGAACCCTTGATAATTTATAAATTATTATTTTGTCACATCTTACACTGTTCGATGTCTCCCTTCACCCACTTTTCTATTGTCCAGCCCCAGGGAGGAGGTTATATGTAGATCCTTGTAATCAGTTCCCTTCAATACTTATTAAATAGAATCAAAAGAGAAAAATCCAGATTTGTTTTCTGGACTCTCAAACTCTTTGCCTTAGAGTCGGCGTTCAGTTGGGGTGAGATGGAACTGACACCATTGTTTGAGCCCATGCGCCAAGCTCAGGGCTGCCTGGGAAGACATTGGGGCAAGTCTAAGGCATACATACGCAAGACAGGAGCACCACCTTACCATTGTGTTTCACTGCAGTGTCCATGGAAGTTTTGTGTAGATTCGGTGGCTTGAATTACATTGGAGAAGGAGTGCTGTAGAACTCCTACCTCTTTTAGAGCCACGGTCCATGCTGTGTCGGGCCCCAGCGAGGGGGGTTTGGGCGTGCTGCATTAACCGGTTCCCCTGCCCTCTGACTTTGGGTTGTGTTTGTCCGTTGAGAAGGCATGAGAAAGGATGGTCAGGGTCTTTGTCCCCCTGGCTCCTATCAAGCCCCTCTTGCTGGCATTTATATCCTGTTATCTCTTCAAATGGAGGCAACGTAAGGATGGTTCCTCCTGGCTCTGGGTTACTATCTTAGCCTCTGCTGACTTCCCTAAGCCCAGTGCACACCCCTATTAGTCCTATCTCTTCCTTAAACATCCAGTCGGGAGTGGGCTCCCTTTCCTACTGATAGCTTACTGGACTAGGCATCTTAACCTTGATATTTGGGGTCCCTGGTACTTTTAATCCAGCCTTTTGAGGAATCATTGTCCTCCAGATGACCCCCTATTTAGGCACTGTACCCATTTTTTACAGATGAGAACGGAGACTAATTAAAATCTAGTCGAATTAAGAATATTTCATGATTTTCCTTCTGACACCTTTTGGTTTAAAATTTCAGTGGAAATCAGAAGGTTGGGAAGAAAGATGAACGTGTAAATATACCCATCTTAGAGCTGCAGGGTTTTCCAACTTCTTTGTTTAATGGAGAACTGAGCCTTTGAAACAGTGGGTAGGTTTGGGTGAGTTTTTTTAACTTGTAGTTCCTGGAAATGGATATCAAGTTGCAAGAAACCCTTTGAATTAATTTTTCAAGAATATCCCTAGTGTACAATTTTAGCAGAAGCAGTTCTATAGCTTTAAATAAATTCTTAGAATTTTATACTCGCCCCAAAGTTCTAGAATATTGTCAGGAAGACCACGAAGCCCCACTTGTGCAATTTTTATTTGCTTGCTTTACAAACCAGGAAAGAAACTTCTGGTAAAATATACATAATGCTGAAGCAACACATCATTATTTACAGACATAGATGAGAACCTAATGTCCAGGTACTAGTTGTAGGATCTTAGGGTTGGTTTATTTAGTAATGTTTTGTTTTTGTGAGCACATGAAATACCCATCCAAGAAGACCTACACCTGCTTGTACCAACTGCAGCAGGCAAAGGAGTCCTACTTAGTTTCAAACAAACCAAATTTGGATTCAAGTGCAAGAGTTGGGAGGAGGAAACCTCGGTGTTTAACAAAATGTTGGGCCAAACCAAATGAGTGAGTCCACCGGTGGTTTTTCCACTGGGGGAGAGAGTAGTGAGGGATCGTTGATAAGGTGGTTACTCGTTTGTGAAGATAGTTCCTGGGCTGCTTCTGTTGCTGGCATTTTCGCCATCTGTAGCTTCACTATTGAAACGAATGTCCACCAGGAGGGAAGAATTCATAGCTAAGCTTACTATTATAATCTCTCGGGGAGGTTGCCAGCAGCTGACAGCAAGCGTGATCTGCCAGTTAAGATAACCAAGGAGGAGAAAATTCTTTTTAATTGTGATTTGGGCACACGTTTACAGAGAAGATTCGTTTTGCATTCAACATTTCAAACGCATTTTGTTCCTTGACCTAAATTGCAACCTCCACACTAAAAAAAAAAAAATTAAATCATGCCCTGGTTTGGCTGGGCATATCAATATGGACCGCTGAGACACACACACACACACACACACCCCTACCCCCCATCACACTTAACCTTTCCATCAGTTTGACAGGTTATGCAGGTATGTTCCAAGTCTAGACGACTCATTCTCTACCGGGTATTCTCCATACTCATTCTTGAGAATACTCATGCCTGGTTAGTTTGCACTTCGGAAGAATCAAAATCCTTACACTGAATGATTTCAATGAAGAAATTTCAAGACGACAATGCAAGATAGAAGGTGGTGGATGGACATGGGGTGGAGAGAAATAATTTGGAAGGAAAAGGTAAAAAACACTTAAAATATTTGAGATGCATGGGATAGATAAGATACTTTGCTCACAGTTCAGTTTCCTCTTTGGTCCGTGGGGGAAAGTTAGGAGGACTGGAAGGGAGGGGGTGTGGGAGGACAGAGTTCTTCCTGTAGTTGGAAGTACCTCTCCATGTTTTCTGTGCTGGGATGGTAAGCTATGTTGGTATCTCTATTGGATAGATAACAGAATGGTACAAGAAGTCCCTGCTTACCACTTACAGGTATTCTGAGCTCACCCACATGGTGTTTTAATATTTTGTTGTCTTGCTTTCAGAACATTTGTATTGCTAGACAAGCAGAAAGCACTAGTGTTGAAGATCCAGGTAATCGAGGCAATCATGAAAGCATTTGACTGAACATCAGGATAGAACCTTGTCCAGGAGCCTGCAAAAGCCAGAACCCAGAACTAGTCGCCAAGGTTTGTGCCTGACGTGACATTGGCAATGGCATATATTAAGAAGTGTGTTTTCAAAAAAAGAAGAAAAAAAAAAAAAAGAAGTGTGTTTTCCTTCTTAAAGTCATTGACTGGTGAACGTTTTGCGGCCTGACTTCCGTTACATGCCAGTTTTGCAGTGTGAACCCATTTGGGGAGTGTGGCTTTCAGCCCCTGGCTCAGTGTGTTCAAGTAGCTGCTGTAATGAATTCACTCAGTGTTCTTTACTCACTGGAGAGGCGAAGTGAACTGTATTTGGAACGAGCAAACACTTGCCATCCTATACACTGCTGCCTGGGTGCCTAGCTACCAATTTTGGTTAATAACCCCTGGTACCTAGATTTCAGCAGTTATAGGGTGGTAGTTTTCACAAAGACTTTGGTGAGATGTCATCAGCTTGGGAAACAGACAGAAAAAGGCCTCTTCTCCCAGGTTTCTATAACCTGCAGGGACTTCAGCTGGCTCTAACTGTTGAAATGAGGCCAGGAGTGTCTCCTGCCGGGCCCCACTTACCTGCTGAATGCCAGCCACGCCAGCCTGAGCAACTGCGTTGCTTCCGCTCCCAGGCTTGATCCATTCATTTGGAGCCTGTACCTTACAGCTCCCAACAAATGAACAAACATGCCATCGATCTACAAATGACACACGTGCACAAAACCACAGAAGGGCCTGAGGTCGAATCACCTGGGCAGCTTTAAATGACCATGTCATCCGGGAGCCTTCTGAGCCCTCCTGTGGACACTGGGCAAAGGATACCACTGGTATGTGAGGATCACAGAAAGACCATGAGAATAGCCCTGGTCTTCTCTAAATGGGAGCCCAGTGCACCAGAGAGCTGCCTTCTAACCTTCCACGGATCTGAAGAGTCTCCATCACTGACCTTGAGGGCAGTGTCCACGGTGAGCTGCTGCGGAATCCAGTCGTTACTAATGCTTCCGGGCAAAAGGACATTGCAATAGGCCCTGAGGCTACAGTCTCAAGTAAGACAGACTTGGTCTCTCGGGGACTTTATAGGCCAGTAGGAATGGGACAGCGAGGGCATAATTTTTCATTGGTGCCTCAGAGCAGGCATGCAGAGTACTGAACGGAAATATTAGCTAGGGAGGATGCTGTACGAGGATTTGCTACCAGGGGTTCCGATCTAGATGGCATGGTCCAGAAAAGGTGTCCCTGAAGATGATGCTGAACTGACCGCGTACGAGACTCTTCGTTAGGCCAAAAGGTGAGGGAAGTGTCCGAGGCAGAGGACAGAGCATGGACCATGGACCTGAAGCTAGAAACAAGCTGACCGGTTGAAGGAACCAAAAGATGTCTCTAAAAACCAAAACCAAACTCACTGCCAATGAATCGATGTCAACTCGTGGTGACCTTAGAGGTCAGGGTAGAAGTGCTCTGGTGGATTTCTGACACTACCTCTTTATGGGCCTAGAAAACCTAGTCTTGCTCCCATGGAGCGGCTGGTGGTTTCGAACTGCCACTCTTGAGGATCACAGTCCTCCCTGTAACCAGTATGCCACCAGGACTCCTAAAAGAAGCCTTCTATCGCTATAGCAGAGTTCTGGAGATGATGCAAGAGAAGTAGGAAGAGAGGAGCCAGACCTGGACCAGAGAGGGACTGAGGCCATGTTGCAGATGTTGGTGTACCTGGCTGCTAACCAAAAGGCTTGAGCTCTGAGTCCATCCAGAGGTGTCTCAGAAGAAAGGCCTGGTGATCTTCCCAAAACACAGCCCTCGAAAGCCCTGTAGAGCACAGTTCTCTGACACACACAGGGTCCCCATAGGTTGGAACGGAAGACACAGCAGCTTGGTTTTTAAGGTTTCAGACCATGAGAAGCCATCTGGTTCCTCGTCTGTAAGTGAGACAAGCAAGTCATTGCATAAGCTTGCAAGGGAGCAGAATGAGAATACACCCCAAAGGTCTT